CCCTATCCCCCTGTGTGCCCTTGCCTCCCAACGCTAAAAAGTTTATAAAGAGCGTAGGCTCCAAACAATTATACTAGAGCCCACCTCAACAATTTTACTAGAAGATGTTGTTTTGATGCTCAAATATCCACAAATTGATCATCTCGATATCAAGATGCATGGATATAAAAAATAAAAGAAAAAAAGAATTCAATTTTTGGAAATAAGGCATCTTGTAACGTACTTTTTAATAGTCAATTTTCAAGATTTTCAAGCTTTAATAGATCTGCTCGATCTACACTATTTTTTAAGCTTTAAAATTTATAATTAAATATAAAAATGTATTTTAAAGCTATCACAAAGATATCCGGCATTGAAACCACATTTCTCGACACTATTTGAAGGTGGGCTCTACTTTGATTTTTTTCGAGCCTCAAATCTATACAAACCGCACCTATATATATATACTCCTCCTATTGTATAAAAGTTATATACTTCCCTTTATCTAACCTTCTTATTTGAATTGATGGTTGAGATGGATCCAATCACAATGTCGCGCCTCTAAACTGTTTTTTTTTTATTTTTTCTTCAAAACATTTTGACACCAAATTTTGGGCATCTACTCCTCTCGTGAACTCACACCTGCAAAAACATATAAAAACAATATTCATGATAAAATAAATGATTAAAATACCTCTTAAATTTTTAGTGCGATCATTTTATTTTTTTGAAAACATTTTTTAAGTGCATCCCAATGAAATTATGCACGTAACAAATTTCATACTCATATAATTTGTATAGAAATTAAAAATCAAACACTATGAGATATCAAACGGTCAGTGACTCAAATCTAAATTGAATGGCAAGACAAAATGGGAGGATAAAACGTATTTACATTAACGACAATATAGCAGCTACAACACTGCATGAGTTGATATGCACAATGCCTAGTATCTATCATGTACGGCTATCTCAATTAGTATTTTAATTCAATAATTAGAAGTAGTTTAATAGGCAGTACATTTTAAAAATCGAATTGGGCTCCCACTTGACTGGGGATCAATTCCAATTCCCCCGGTCTAACTTGGGCTAGCTATGGATCAGACTGGATTGAGGTTAACAAAATTAGAAGACTAGGAAGAGTCGAGCAGTTTCTGGGTTTTTTGGCCGAAATAACTAGTCTTCCAATCCCTTTCTACTCAAGATCTCAGAGGTGGATTAATGTTTTTTTAATTACTTATACTTGGGGTTTTACACACCGTTCGATCTAGATCAAGAATCAGTAGGACTGATCTGATTCCTATTATATAACAGTTATAGCTAGTTCTTCTTAGAAACTGGTTGGTTCTATCATAGAACTGACCAATACCTCCGCACCTCATATTTTTTACCGTATTGTCAATTTTTGTTTTTTTTATTGATCAATTCACTCAGCCAAATTGCTGATCCGAACCGTCCGTCCACTATGCTATACTGGTTTTATGGATAGGCGATCCCTGTCATCATTTGTTTTTTTAAAACATTGCTTATACCGATCACATTAGCAAATGGCCACGTAATTATCGTAAAGAGGATATTTTTGTCATTTTCAACCAACTAAACTCTACCCCACCCCCAATAGACAATTTGTTTTCATCCAAAATGGTCATGAGTATTTATTAATTTTACGATAAATCTTATTATTATTAAGAACGATTGAGATATAGTAAATGATTTTTTTATGTAATTTTTCTTTAATATTTTTAAAAGTTACCACCAAAAAGAAAAAAATAAAATAGACCTCATTAAAAATTTCTAAATAGTCGCCCATAATAGAGCAGATGCTTTTCCCACTTTATCTATAGATCTTCATTCTACAAATAAGGTTATAACATAATAAATCATTAGGAGTGGCAATGGACTTGGGTCCGACTTGGGACCCAAGAGGTAGACCCATTTTGGGTCCGGGAATGAGTCAAAAAATTGGACCGAATGAGTTGGTCCCGGTCCAAATGTTGGACCCAT